CAGTAAGCCTAATTAAATGGAGAAAAGTCGTCACTCTGCTGTTGGTTATCACCGTGTGCACCACACTAAACATGGCCCAGAGAAAGCAAAGGAGAGAGTTGTCTGAGTAGATAAAAAAAGGAAACTGTAAATCAGCATGTCAAAGGTAAAGACTTTAAGAGCATCTCCAAGCAGCTTGTTCCTGTGACTACAGTTGCAAATATTATTAAAAAGATCCATGGCAGTATAGACAACATCCCTGAATGTGGCCGCAAGAAAAAAACTGACTCCATATTGACCAGAACGATAGTTGAATGGTAGACAAAAAGTAAAGGAAAACTTCCAAAGAGATACAAGTTGACCTCCAAGGACAAGGTACAACAGTGTTCGATTGTACCATTTGTTGCTTTTTGAGGGAAAGTGGGCTCAAAAGAAGACTCCAAAACGAGAAAAGCATAGAAAGCGAGAATAGAATTTGCTAAAATGCATACGGATGAGCTACAATGCTCCTGGGAGAATGTCCTTTGGTAAGCTGAGGCAAAACAGGAGCTTTTCTGTATGTCACACATGCTCTATGTTAATAGATGAAAAAATTAAGCCTTCAAAGTAAAAAACACTATACCTACTATGAAATATGGAGGAGACTAGGATATGTTTTGGGGCTGCCTTGCCGTGTCTAGCTTGGGGCGCCTTTAGTCTGGGAAGCAAAACAAATGGCAAACGCACTCATCAATTTAGTTTCCAGGCACACTCACCAGCCAGCATGCAAAGAAACCTGTCTAACCACTAAGGTTAAAAGCAGAGGTTTAGATACACTTCTTCTGCAGAAAATGTGAAAGCCGCACAGCCACGTCAAGGCACCTCCATATAGTGCGGTTCTAACTCTAAACGATGAGAGTCTCCATCTTGGAGCACATGGGGCAAAAGATTAAATTGGGTGCAGGTTTGTCGGGAGGAAGCCCAACCTCCCTTAAAGGGACAGGTATGCACAAGGTAAAGCAAAACAAACGACAAACGCACTCAACAATTTGTTACCAGTTATACAGTAAGGTGTGTTATACTGGTTTGTGAGTGTGCCATGATGCCTTTCTACAGGTATGCACAAGGGACCCCGCACATCACAACGGCAGCTGAGACCCCTCGAGTCACTGCACCAAATCAGTCAAGCAAAACAAATGGGAAACGCACTCATCAATTTGTTACCAGCTTTACAGCAAGGTGCACACGGAACGGCTTCAAACAGTAAAACGTGGCCATGCGGCTTTCACATTTTCTGCAGAAGACGTGTATCTAAACCTCTGCTTTTAACCTTAGTGGTTAGACAGGTTTTTTTGAAAGCTGGCTGGTGAGTGTGCCTGGAAACTTTTGCTGTTTTAGTCTGGGAAGGGCAAAATACAATTTCAAGATTATCACAGAATTCTAGAGTGAAAGGTACTGCCCAGTTTTGGAAATCTCTGTCTCAGCCACAGGTCATAGGTCCTCCAATGACGCAAAACACCAAAGAATGGATAGGAACAAAACATGGGACTATTCTTAAGTGGCCTTCTATGACCCTGATCTGAATCTTATTAAACTTCTATGGAAAGAGCTGAAAATGCAATCTGGAGAAGGCACCCTTCAAACCTGGGACAGCTGGAGACGTTTGCTCAAGAAGTGTGGGCCAAACTACCCGTTGGCAGAAGTCTTAATTGAGGGCTACAGAAATCTCTTGTTTGCAGTGATTGCCTATTACGAGTAGGCAACAAAATGTTAAGTTAAAGTTTCCATCATTTTTGTCCATGCCATTTTTGTTTTATTCTTTAGAATATTCTATTGAATCAATTGGATGCCAATAAATTTGTTCACAGCTGTATCTAAACTAAAAAATATAAATATAATAAATTACAGTTTATCAGTTTTTGTGGCACTATTAGTTTTCTTTATATCAGTTTTTTTTCTATTATTTATACCGGGTAATCCTGTCAGCAAAGCACTTTCTGTTCTAGGGTGACAACACTTACTTTACTGTATTTACGGAGGGGCATAGGTCATCAAGGTGACAGTCTCTCTTTAAGTTGTGTATTCAAGCTTATTAAAATACAGATATACTGATATATAACTTACACAAAGAATCAAGTAAACTGGAGATATGAAAAACATCAGAGATACCTTGAAAGCAGAATAAGAAACCGCGTTTAATACATTATCACGTGTATCACTCCGGTAAAATAAACAGTCTTCAAAGTGAATTTCATACAGATTCTGTGTAATATATTTGATATACAAAGCATGGAGGTGCACTAAGGGTAAATCATACTCAGACAGGACCATCCTTCTATGAACATAGGTGGTCTCTTCTTGGAAAGATACTTGCGTTTATTTAGAAGGAGGTGAATTTAGAGCAAGGGTGACAGCATAAGTGCCGTCTTGTAAACATAAAGTGGTACACTTCATAACATAACACGAGCAGCACCAGCTTCTAATTAGTAATGTAACTAGACATACAGTATAGACAAGTTGGTCTTTTTTCCTTGACATGTAGTGGAAAGTCCAGTACCAGGAATACAACTCCGTAGATGAAGGATCGAGTTTTTTTAATATACTACTAGTATATTTGTGATGACCAAGTAGAGTCCTTTTTTAAGAGTGCCCAATTGGTTGTTTTGTGATGACTAGTGTGCTTATTGGATACAACATTGTTCTAAATCTATGAATCTGTGCTGGAAATAGATGACGTCATCTATCACATATCTTCAATACTCTATTGATAAGCAAAGGTGCTAGCCAGTATGGTGTGCATCCGGACCGTAGCACTGTGTGATTTGACCATAATAACCCAACTAAACTTTTGCACACTTTTTGTTTGATGCATCTGGAATATATTTAGCTGATTGAGTCTTACAGTTCTAGTCAGGCAGTTTTAGAAAGCAGTGGCAGCCTGAGTAGAAAAGCCTGCCCTATGCCAGCATGGAGCAGAGAAGGAAGTTGGCTCCATGTGTTGATGCAGTTGTCTCTCTGCAAAGGTCTGACAAGGCTCCTGCTAAGAGGTAGAACTCTAGCGGGCATGGGCTGTGCTGATTGTCAATCTCTATCTCTGACTCAGCAGGGGAAATCAGAGCTCTGCAGAGAGACCACTGTTTTTTTTTTACAGAGAGCAAGGGTCCTTTTCTATAGCATGCTGGCATGATACAGTCTTTTCTACTCAGCATACCTTTTTTAAGCACATAGAATGTTTTTCGCCGATTTGAAATCAGCTTTAAAGTACCCTCACCTTGCTTGTCTAACAGCAAGGCGTAGAATGTTTTTGGAAAAATTGATTTTGCCACAACCAAAATATTACCGAAGTGGCAATACATGAAATTCCTGTGAAAAAGACATACAATATTGAAAAAAATTAGCAGCAATTTTTGGTCGTCGACAGTTGAAAGGAGTGTTTTTCTAACCCTCAGGATCCATTTAAAGGTCATCGCATGATTAAAAAATCCACCCTAGATTAGCCTTCTCTATTGACCTCCGTGTGTTTTTCCCATACGGCAAAATTTCACAGATATATCCAGATTTATATAAAAATGTCAGGGAAACCTCAGTTTTGCTCATCCTTATACTTTAATCTACATCTCAAAGGTAGGTTCTCTATGAATATAGAACAGAAATTGCTTTAAAGGCAGTCATATAGAGATTCCCCATACTACATACATTATTATTTTATCCAAGATTAGCAGAAGAAGGGGCGGCTACATATCAGTAAAAGGAGCCCATCATCGATAACAGTTGACACACAGAAGACCTGCTTTCTGTGTTTGGCTGCTCTACAGTGCAGATTGGTATTATGCAGTATAGATAACTAAAATGGTTTAATTATTCTACTTTGTTCCTCTATACCCCGTGTCCCAGACATTGTACAGATACAACGACACACTAACAGTGCATTCTGCCTAACATATAAAGCGACCATCAGCTTATAGTAGAACTGTAAATGCCAGGTCCGTACGACGTACTGAGCTGGCCAGCTGGAAACACTTTTGTAGCTCCGTACGACGTACGTCCTTGGCAGCGAAAGGGTTAAAGAGACTTGTGGCAAGGTTCCTCCTTGACTTAACTGGTTTGCAGCATTCTGGCTTGGCTGCCATTTTACCCACCTGTGATTCCTTCTTTGTCTGAGCAGACTCTGTAACGTTGCTCGCTACTCACAGGCTCCCTCTTATGGCCGGACAGGGAGCATCATCTGAGAGAGCCAGATGGGAGTTTCCTGTCTCTGAGTGATGATGTCACCCCACTCACTATATAAACCACTGAGTCCAGTCTGACCTTGCGTGGTCTTTCCTACTAGTGCTTTTCTGCTGCTCTGAGAATTCAGATTCTGTGTATGACCCGATCCTGGCTGGGGTTCTTCTCCGTTTCCTATTCCTGGCTTGTTCCTGACAATGCTGATTTCCTGGTTCCTGCTCCTGGCTTTTTCCTGACAACACTGATCTCCGTGTTCCTGACCTAGATTGTACGACTACCCACTCCGGCTCCTGACCTTGGCTTGTTCCCGTTTATGATTTTTGCTTGCTCCTGTGTACACTTTTCTTAATAAAATATTTTTAACTAGCACCTCATGCTAGTCTGGTTTTTAATGTGCTCTAACACTTTGCCATGGGAAAAAGGGGGAACCAAGCGCGGCAGGTTTGAGGTGCCTTCACATACCTGCAGCAGCTTCCAAAAGCATGTAGTTATGGTCAAATGCCAGGCTGTTCTGACAGGCAATATTTTAGGACTCCCTGGCAATTCCAAGGCATGTACACTGCTTGCAAAAAACGTCTATTGGCCAGTAAACAAATCTGTCCTAGTGATGAACCCATAGAAATGTGTGGGGGCTGGAGATAGCAGCAAGTTGCCACTCAAGCTAGAAGTGTCAGAGCTTTACCTGCAGGTTATATCTGCCATAGTTTCTTTTCTGAGACAGTGCCTTCAAGACGTATACAGTACATATATTACACATTCAGGTATGACTTGGTGCTCCACTTCCAATACTAACCAACACTAGAGATCACAACTGGTTTACTAATCAAAATGTATTTATTATTAAAGATATGCATTTCAAGACTCCATTGCTTCATCTTCGCTACTTTGGACAAAATCATCATCAATATTCTCCACCGGGGCGTCTTCAGTTTCAGAATCTTGCTGCAGATCGTCCCCACCCAGTTCACTGAGTAACTGATCGACATGCTCTATGAGTGGCGAGTCATCACATTGCAGCTTTACGTAGAGCTGTAGATAAAACACAGGGTGAACCGTTTAGTTGGCAGCATCATGCCGTGTTGATAATTTCACAAAGCTCTTAGTGGATGAAAAATACACTCAACCTAAAAGCACTCTGAAACCCACAGAACAGGCATTCCACAACTATTTACTTTCACTTAAAGGGGGAAAATGGAGAAGTAAGCAAGAAAATATTTGTTGAGCTGTAATTTACTTCTATAGGTATGAGAAAATCCAGCCAGCTGCGCTAATAGTTTCGGTGTACATTTAGAGCAAAATATGGTACTTAGAACAAATGCATTTTATCGCTTGAGAATCCATACAAATAGTTATAACCTAGAAAAACGGACCGGCTGTCAAACGGCTTTTGGGTCGCTGGTTTCTTTTCTCAACAGGAAACATTTGCATTTGAAAGGCATTTTTTAGTATCATAAACAGCAGGGTTCAAAATTTCCACTCGCCCCATCGCAATTTGCGAGTGAAAATTGTGTAGGGGCGAGTGGAAATGAAGCCATTGAGTCAGGCACTCCTCGGGGCAGCTTCTCTCCTCCTCACCGACATGATGACAGCGCTCCCTCGTCCGTCCGTCCGGGGTCGCAGGAGGGAGCGCTGCCTGCTGTCAGGATGACCGAGCGGGAGAGAAGCCGCGAGGAGAGAAGCCGCCCGAGGGGGAGAGAAGCCGCGCTCGCAGCTGTCAGGCGAGAAGATCGGAGCCGCTGTCATCCTGTCAGTTTCAGGATGACAGCGGCTCTGTGCGTGGCAGAGAGGGGGATCGGTAAATATCAATGATATTTACAGATCCTCCGTGTGAGGACAAACACTGGAGTGATCGTCTGATCACTCCAGTGTTTGTAAATAACTGGGGACACAAAGTACTATGGGCCCCCAGTTATGAATGAACAGGCAGTGATTTACATCACAGTCTGTTCATTCAAGATTTCCTCAATGGGGAGAATCACTCACTACAGAGGCTCCTCCCCATTCAGAAACAGCTGATAGTAAATATTTTACTATCAGTGTCTGAATGAATGGGAAGCCTCTGTACTGAGTGCTTCCCATTCACTGAGTGCTGAGGCTGCTGAAAAAGAAATTGAGGATTTGGTGTCCTCAATTGCTGTGGCTGTATGTGTAATGCCCTGTGCGTTGTGAAGTGTGCGTGTTGTGCCCTGTGTGTGTTTGTTTGTGTTATGAAGGGCAACTGGTGGCGAGTAACTTCGAAGGTTTGGCTAGTAGCTCAGGACCTGAAATTTTGAGCCCTGATAAACAGCATCATTATATCATACAGATATATGCCCAGACCTATTAGATAGTAGTGAATTTGGCTGCTTCAGTCTTTAGATGACAATCGCTGTTGGGTCAAACTACGAACTATCGCTCTTTCCAACAGGAAGAAGGAACAGCCGTTTTCTTGCTTGCCTAATGTGTGTGTGCCCTATGTAGAGGTACAGTGCTTTATTGCACAAAGAAAGTGTAGTTAGCATCGAGGTGAAAGTTCAGGTCTTCAAATGCCAGGACTCTAGTTCAGAACATGAAATATGACTCATTTTAAATATGGTAAAATAAAGATGCACCATAATGAAAGCCTTTGGAGTGGTGGAGAGTGAAAAGGTTAACATATAGTTAGATGTGTAGGATGGCTAGTTACTTTCTTACATCTGTGTAGAAGAAATATGTCTCCTGCTTCTGATATCTAGACAATAAATGGGCAAGGTTGTAAAGACCACACCAGACAGAAAAAAACGCAGGTAACGGTGCCTTTTTCTATTGTATGAAAAGTGAACGAAACATCACGGGGGACACCCGATGTTCTGACTATTTTGATTAAGCTATACTCATGATCTGAATGCCCAAATCTAGTAGGGATGGGCTCGATGTTTAAGTCGTTCGACTTGAACAGGTCGACTCGAACATCGCTAGTTTGCGTGTTCAGCGAACACACGCACCATCAGGACGTTCGGCGGGCTATTCGCCCGCTGAGCGCACTGCACCGTGCCTTGTGAAGCCCTGATTGGGTAAAGCAATGCACCTGACTACCTGCTTTACCCAATCACAGCACAGTGCACTGTGAGAGACATGATCGGGCAAGTAATGATGACTTTGCACAATCATGGCTCACACAGCTAAGTCCTGTCAGGTGCCGGACAAATGTAAACAGTTTATCATCCAATTGTTTATATTTTGCTGACATCTGTCAGAATGTCATTCTGCAGCAGGAGATTGTCGTGAGCGGACGAGTCAACGGATGTCAGGTTTAAAATTATATTTTTTAATTTTGTCGAGTCGCCGTCGTCGTGGACAACGCTGGACGTGGTGATTTACTCTAGGATTACGCCGGTGGATCCATTAAAAAACAAACAAAAACATTCCCCTTAAAGAACAACTGTCCAGAACACTACCCCATGTCAAGTTGAGGTTACATTTTCAGCAAAACTATCACTGTCACATACTGAAGATCTACATATTCTAATATAGGGAATACGCTAGCAGCAGAGAACACAAATTCGTTGCATGATGTCTAGGTCGCAGAGTTCAGTAGATACTTTGTGTTTCCATGAGCCACAGCCGACAACAAGTCCTCAGAAAGATGGTCAAAGCAAACAACAGACAGTATCAGAGTCAGCAGACTGATGGGCCAGGTAAGGTGCAGACAAACAAGTTGAGGTTCCAGACAGCTAAAAAGAAGCGAAGCAATGGTGGACAAATAGCGGCCCGTTATATTTGGACAAACATTAGAAAAAGCACAGGCAGGATGAGTACAAATGCAGTCAAACAGTGCAAAGGGAAATCAGAGGCATAGAATGTCAGACAGAAGTCAGAGGCAGACAGATCCCTCTCCAGGGCATGAGCAAACGCACAAATGGGTCTGAAGTTGTTACCTCGCTTTAAAGTCCACTAATGAGGGTAGGTGTGCACAGCAGAGTCCAAAGCCACAGTGTTGAGTAAAGACCAGCAAATGGCTATAAGTTCAAATCAGATTGTTATAGTCCTAATGGTATTAGTTTTCATAGAAATACAGTATATGGTCAGTGACAATGGTGGCTTAACTTAAAAGTCATGGTAAATCTTGTCATGACTTTACCAGGGGTGAGCAGAAATCTACCTCCATCTCTAATTTAAAAAAAAAATGGGAATACACAGACTATTTTATCTTCCCCACGCAAGTTAGCTACTTAAGAAGAAGGGTAAAGTCACAATAAAATCTTGGTCACGGTTTCATATTCTCTATAAGAACATTCTGGAGCTCAGGAATGAACAAACTGCTACTTGCTGCCAATTAATCCTTGCATTGCCGAGGTCACATTATCTTATTAAGCTGGATGAGTAATGCAACTCCCTGGATGTCTTGTGAAGCGTATCTTAGAGCTGCTTCATGGACTAGTAGCTCATTATTACTTCTTATTTGGCAGAATAGTAACCTCACAGACACATCAAATTTGAAAAGTCAGCTATTTTATTTTTTTTAAACAGAAATGTCCAAAGTCATATAACTGTTCCCTTGTCTGAGATATAAAAAGTATGGCATAAAAAGAACAATTCTAATTAAAAAATACACTGCGAACGATGAGAAACTACTCCATTTTAGGTGTGATAAATGTGGGTGACAATGTCTGTTATAATCTTTTACTGTAGATAAGTATTCAAGCGTTCTGAGTTGGCAAGGACAATGGTAGCCATAGGAGACAATGTACATATTATGAGGCCCTGAAAATATTTTTGAATAAAATAAATATATAGTCCAGAAACCAATATGTGAGCCCTAGCTTAAAAGAGAACTATGGGGTAAGTGTTTTTCCCCATAGTTCTCATACTGGCATCCTCCCGTGACCTAAAGCTCAGTATATCGCGAGCTACAGCTCGCAGTATACTGAGACCGCCGCAGCCGAGACGGATCCCGACATTACTGTTGAGATCCACCCTGCAGCGTGAGTGACAGCGGGCTCTGTCTATCTAGAGGTAGACACAGCTGTAACCCGCTCCCTCCCCCATCCATTCCTCAAGTCAGCGCTGGAGGATCGGAGCAGAAAGGGATCTCTGCAGGGGGCCGTGACTGAAAGTCATGGCTCTCTGCAGGGAGATGATCGATAAGTGAGCGAGCGACGGTATGTGTTCCCTCACTTCCCGATCTATTGAGCCGATGTGTGACAGTTTAATTGTCACATGTCGGCTCGAACTATGAGGATGAGTGATTTTCTTTTTCAAATTCTTTATTGGCTGGAAAAAACGTCAAGTATAACCAATACATAATGTGTTGTACATAAACAGTTTCAGGAATTCTACATGACAGAGTGGAAAACAGTCTACATCATAGCAACACAAATATCTCCCGACTAAGAGAGTCATGTCTGAAGTAACAAAAATCAGCTCAGTACAGTAGTTGACACAGCAAGATTTTGATTCGGCGGCCGGGATCCGCGTCGGCAGCTGACGTCCCTAGTCATATTGGGACTCTTCCCATCCGAGCCACCCCAGATGTCCTCATGGCAGCCTGAGGGAGGGTGACCTGCTTGGGTCAGCGTGTGTAGGTTGATCCAGGCTTTGGGCAGAGATGCTGTAGCATAGCCACGGTCCCCAGGTGGCATTAAAACGGGCTTCAGTGTTTTTCAGCGAGGCAGTTAGGTCCTCAAGCAGATATGTATCTTGCACTTTGGCGAGCCACATCTGGACAGTGGGCGGACAGGGGTCCTTCCATTTCAAGGGAATGCATACCCGAGCTGCATTCAGCAGATGATGAGTCAAAGAGCGTTTATATCTATTGATCGGGTGTTTAGTCAAATGAAGTAGGCATGCTGCAGGGTCATCCCGGAGGTCCGCACCTGTCAGAGTCTCAATCAGCTCCAGCACCCGTCCCCGGAAGGTCCGCAACTCGGGACAGGACCAAAAGATGTGTAGCATCGTACCCTGAACCCCCTTACATCTCCAACACACGTCCGGAATCGTGCTATTCATTTTATGGAGCAACCATGGCACCCTATACCATCGTGTCAGGATCTTATATCCCGATTCTTGAT